GGTGGGGTTTGGGGTGATGGGTTCCCAATATACCAAATCCCCCATAAAAACCGGCAGCCCCGAAGCTTCTGGGGTGGGGTTCGGGGTGATGGGTCCCAAATATCCCAAATATCCCATAGCAAACTGCCCCCCTCCAGTCCCCCCAAACCCACCCGACGCTTCTGGGGTGGGTTTGGGGGTGATGGATTTCATCCCTGCTGTTCCCAGTGTTTGAGGATGCGTCGCACCTGCCTTTCACAGTTCCTTCCACATCACCCCCCCCTTCCCCATATAGGGACGAAATAAGTCCCAAACCCCTCCACTCTGCTCTCCGTCGCTCCCGACGCATCTCCTTCATTAGCATCCTTAATGAATTGGATCATCCCTACCGGTCCCATTGGGTAGAATGGGTAGAAAACGCAGTTCTCCCCCGAACTGCCCTCTCGCTCTCTCCTTCCCGTAACCCAGGTGCCATAGGGGCGGTTCCCGGCCCTCTGACCCGGGACGGGCTGAACAAATACCCAATGTTTTCCCCCAAAAAAGTGGGAAAGGGGCAGGAATCCTCCTCTCAGCGGGGCATGACGCCAGGGCTCGCGAACCCTTTTGTTTGCAGCTGTAAAAGGACTTTCCGTGCAAACCGCTGGAAACTTCTCTTTTCCCCTCCTTTAAAAAAAAAAAAAGAGTCCTGGGGGGGAAATGAAGCAGCCAGAGCCACTTCTGAGCTGTCTGGACCCAAAATGCGGTCCCTAAATTACCCCCTCGCTCCCCCGAGGGCACCAACACCCCCTAATCCCCCTCTCCACCCCCCCCCTTTTCTTCTTCTGTGCTTTGATGCCCCACCGCATCTTCATCGCTCACACTCTTCCTCTGCCCCTCTCCCCGCCTTCTCGGTGTAAATAGATAAATATGTTTGTGAATGTAAAGCTCGTACCGAAAATATTCGGAAACCTGAGTAGAAAAAAGGGGGAAGAAAATGTGAGGGGAAAAGGGGGGGAAATAGGAGAGAGAAAAGAAGGGGGGAAAGGGGAGGAAGGGGGAGAAAAAGGAGAAAAGGGGGAAAATTGAGGGAAAAGGAGAGGAAAGGGGGGGAAATGGGGGCAAAGGAAAAAAAAGGAAATGGGGGGAGAAAGGGAAAAGGGAGGGAAATGGGGGAAAAAGTAGAAAATAAAGGGGAAGAAATAAAGGGGAAAAAAAGGAAGGCTGAAATTCTTCCCGAGGTGTCAAGTTCCTCCCAAAGTCTCCTAATTTCGTTCCCGTGGGTTGGGGCTCTGGATAACAAAAATAAAGACCTTCTCCCCTCCTTTCCCCCCCCCCCCTCCGGCCCCAAAAGTGCCGATTCTTGAAGTTTTAGGCACAAAAATAACGGGGAAAGGGAACGATCTGGAGCTCCTTCCCTGCCGCCTTCCTTCGGCGCGGCCGTAATTCAATTATTTGCCATTCATTGGGTCAGAGCCTGGGAATAAAGTTGAAAATTAAATATTAATACTAAAAAAAAAAAAAAAAATCTTTTTTTTTTTTTTTCTTTTTTTTTTTTTTTTTTGGCTACTGCTCTGCTTCATTACCCACGTTGACAAAGGAGAGACCCCTTCTTTTCTCTCCTGGGAGCAGCGAGCAATAGATTAAAACAAGCATCAATCAGGAAAAGGAGCAAGGAAACTGCTTAAAGGAGCAGGGCGGAATTCCTCCCCGCTTCCCCACTTCCCTGCACATCTCCATGGTTTCCTAAGGTATGTTTCTGGTTGATAAATGCCCCTATATCTCTGGTCCCTTTGGGGGAACGGCTGTAAATCAGCGCTGAAAGGCAGCTCATAAGCAGAAGGGAATGGGGTTGGGGCTGGTTTTGGGGAGCATCTCACCTCTGCTCTGCCAGAGGATGGGGTGGAGGGGGTTTGTAAGGGATCCCAATGGGAGCAAATGGGCTCTGGGGTTCACTCTCCCCTATAGGACGATGCACCCAGGGTGTTAATACTCCCTTATAGAAAGGCACATCCAGGTTAGCCCTAAACCCACACATAGGAGCACCCAACCCCAACAATGTGCACCGTGCTCCCACGGACACCCCATGAATCCAAATAAAGTCCCTCTTTTTCTATTTTTTCTCCCCTTTTCCCCCCAAAAAATTCAATTTCTAGAGGGATGCAGATCTAGAAACGAGCAAATCCTTCAATGATAAGCGAGCAGCAGCTCATCTGCTGAAACCTGAAGGATTTAATCACCGATACTTTCCCCCACAAGTAGGGAAAATGCAGGAAAAAATAATAATAATAAAAAAAACCCCAACCCCAAACCGCCTGGGGATGAATTATTTAATGAAAAGTTGCTACCTTCTGCAATTACAAGAAGATTACTAATGTGGGAAGGTTTTCCATTTGAGATCTTGGAGTAATAAGCATTATTTTTTTAAGCGATTATCCAATAAATCTCTCTTTAAAGGGCGATAAATCCACCTTGAAAACCAGGGGATTTAAAAAAAAATATTTCAGAGGGACTTCCGCATTTTTCAAAATGACCATTGGAGAAAAGCAGAGGAACACATTGAGGCTGAAGTGTTTGTTTTGTCAGAGAAGCCAGAAAGGAGAGGAGGAATATTTGCAGAGCTCAAAGCAAGCGCAGGAAAAGCTGGAAAAGCAGAACGGTGTTTGAGAGCTCCTTCTCAGGGAAGCAAAGTTAATGCACACGAATGCTCGAGGCTGCAAAAATTCATGTGTTGTTTGTGTTATTTGACAGATGGAGGAGATGCAGGCTGGGTGCAGTGATTGCATGAGCACCTGAAGCTCCCCAGGGTGAAGCACGGCGCCCATCTCATGGGTAGAGCCCCAAAAACCAATGGTTAGCAAAGAGCTTTGGCCAACACGTGGGGATGCAAACTGAATTCAGTGCACCGTTTGGGTTGGAAAAGGCAAAGAGGTCAGGAAAAGAAAGCTAAGGGCTGAGCGCTCTGTTCCAGACCTCAACACTTTGCTTGCAAGGTCTCCATCCTCTGCGTTCCTATTTCTTAGGGATTATTTGCAAGGGATGCTCCCAGCTTCGGCGCTGTAGAGGAGGAATGTTCCATGCAATCTGACCATGGAG